AATGGTTCGGGAGTTCTCAGCTTGGCCCATCCATTATAAAGCACCCCACATACCTTTCACTAGTAATTTTAAGAACCATCGATGATCATGCCTAATTCCACTACTAGAGGGTTGCAAAGTGGTAAAATTCTAGCATTTCCTTTTCATTTATTAGCTAGAATTTTCCTAGAGAACTGGTTATTCTGAAAATAGTTCACAGAAGAAATGGAAGATAGATGATTGTTCTTCCCTTTATGGAAATTTTTTTGGAATAATAAATTGGTTTCTCTCACACCCAGTGTTGACAAATAACATTTTTCAGCTACCCTTCTAGGCACATGAATTTTTTTTTTTTTTTAGCATCTTTGTATTTCAGTCTGTTGCAGACTTTCTTGATGTTCCAATTATCCCACCATTGGCCAGTGTGGGAGCCCCTGCTAGTTAGCTCCCAAGTCCCATCTTCACCCCACAGACTTTGATCACTCCCCTTGCACTGTGCATGATAAGACACCCCAGATTTGTCTTGAATTTTTCCTGCCCTGACCCAGAGCCAGACCTGTTTCCAAGGACCCCCGGTTCCTCTGTGTGGGGCGTGATTTTGAGAGGTCACGGGAATGAAGGCCAGCAAGGGGGTCTGTGGTATAAAGGATAAAAAGGGGTATCTGAATGCCACTGTCCCTGCCAGAGGGGTTCAGGGAGGGCAACAGAAAAATAACAGAGGCCTGGGGATGCTTCAGCTTTGCTGCAAAGAACAGAGTTGCATGAAACAGGAGTGTGTGATGGCAGGGAGAAAGACGGAGAGGCCAAGGGCAAGGGCTGAGTGGTAATGCAATCCCATTGCACTGATAACTGGTAATTGCAATGGTCCTTGGAAAGGACAGGGCACTGGGTCCAAGGCCCGGGGAACAGAACGGTCTTGGGTGGAAGGGACAATTCTTCCACAGCACCAGTAGAGAAGAAAGGATGGATATTTCTAGAGTTGCTTGCTTTGAACCAGGCAAGAAGAAGATAGACAGTGGACAGCTGTGGGAGCCAATATTTAAAATGGCCTCACGGTATTCAGGCCCATGTATGGTCCCTTCCCACACAGTATAGGCTCATACACGGAAACTGTAGAATTATTCTGGAAATAACAGAGTGTGACTTCTGAGGGGAGGTCATGAGAGATACAGTGGCTTCCATCTTCTGCTCCTGGATCACTCACTCTGGGGGAAACCTGCTGTCACGTTCTGAGGACACTCCAATAAATCCAGGAGCCAGCATTAGATTGCGTGCAGGTGAGTGGGCCAGCTGGGGCAGCAGCAGCCCCATCCCCAGTCAATATCTTGGTTGCAACCTTGGGAGAGACAGGAGGTCAGAACCACCCAGCTGAGCTCCCGGGCTCCTGACCCACAGAAAGTGCATGAAATAATACATGTTTGTTGTGACTAGAAGCTGCCAGCTTCTAGGGTGATTGATTGACTGATTTTTTACCACCAATAGACATCTAATAACATGATTGGGATAAAAGATGGTACAGCAGAAAGGAGATGGTGGTCAGGGTGTGGACTGTTTGAACAAGGGATCCAGAGAAGCGTCTAAGAGCCCAGAGGCAGGAGGTCTTTCAAATTGAAATGGTCAAGGAACTGACAGGCCAGATATGGGACAGACTGTGGATATTATAATCCTCCAGGAAGACAGGATGCCCTGGGATCCAGGGGAGGTCTGTGGGCTGGGTTTCAAATCCTTCAGTGAACAAGGAGGAGCTCAGGAGATGTGACATCATGGTGGCAGTGGAAGAGGGGTGGCTGGTTTGGCTCTCAAAAGGGAAGCCTGGACTTTGGTGGGGGAGGGGAGTCTGTTTTTGTGTGAGGAGTACTATTCAGAATGGAGTGAAAAGGCCAGGAGAAGACCAATCCAGGGGCACCTGGGTGGCTCAGTTGTTAAGTGTCTGCCTTCGACTCAGGTCATGATCTTGGGTCCTGGGATCAAGTCCCGCATTGGCGTCCCTGCTCAGAGGGAAGCCTGCTTCTCCCTCTCCCACTTCCCCTGTTTGTGTTCCCTCACTCACTGTGTGTCTCTCTACCAAATAAATAAATAAATAAATAATCTTAAAAAAAAAAAAAAGACCAATCCAACCTCTGGGTTGGGCATAAATGAGAATCAAGAAATTAAAGTCATCATCTGCACCACTGGCATCCCTCTACTACCATGAATAACCCCATCACCACTGTAGCCATCATGACTCGTGTCACGGCGAAATCCTGACCACCGCCAGCAACATCAACGTCAACACCAGCACAAGGTTGTCATCACCACCAATGCAAATGCCATTCATGCCATCATGACCAGCACATCCACCAGTATGACCACCAACCCTGTTGCCACTAGCATCAACCACCACCACCAACACTGTCACCTACTCAGTGCCAACATGGCCATCCCTGTCACCACAGACATCACCATCACCTCTGCCACCACCACCATCGTGATCACCTCACAGTCACCACCCCCACATGGATCCCCACCTTCCCCATCACTGCCCTGCCATCAGGGACACCACCATGCCCACCACAGATTTGGTCACCACCTCCACCATCGCCTATAACTGACCTCTGCCACCACTGTCACCACCAGCATTACCACCACCATCGACTCTAACATCACGGGGCAAGGCTGCTGGATGCCTGCCTCGATAGCCGGCCCTCAGTTCTTCCTTAGAAACTGGGTACCAGACTCTTCAGTGAGCACAAGGTCACATGGAACAAAGATCACAATTCCCGGGCTTCCCCGCTGAAGGGATATGAGAAGTGTGGGGGGCTTCCAGGAAGTCTGTTTCGCAGAGGGGCAGCCTCTCATCTCCCTTCTCATCACTGCGGGCCAGGAAACCATTATCTCTCACTCGCTTTACTCTACTAGCCTCCTAATGGGTCTTTCCGCTTCCCCTTTGCCTCCTGATTCCATGTAGCACTGACGTGTCCCCAGACAAGACCTTCTAATAGCTTCCCAATGTATTTAGCATAAAATACAAACTCTTTATTCTAGCCTATGAGGGTCTAAGAAATGGAGTTCCTGAGCACATCTTGGTTCCCATCTCCCACCAAACTCCTCTTGCTCGCACTTTCCGTTTTGCACCCCTTCTAGAAGCTCTAAGGAGCTAACCTTTTGCTCACCACAGGGCCCTTGCACATGCTGTTTCCTCTGCCCAGAATGTGAACTCTGAGCCAGGTCAGTTTCCTGTTATTTGCTTTGTGGCAAGTATCTTTGTTTGTAACAATATGCTTGTGCACATACATGTTGAATACATATTTCTTCCACTAGACTGGAGCATCTTTCATGGCAAGGATATGGGGCTAGATGGGGGTATGTTTGCTAACTTCTCTTTCTTCAATACCAGAAACAGCACTGGGTATGTGGAAATATTTGTTTTAAAAAATAATAAACACACAAGTGCATTCATGCTGGCCCCTATCTAGAGCTATACTCCTACCTCACTTTCCTTCAGGCAAGTTATTAAATTGTCCCTTGAGTCAGTTTCCTCAACTGTAAAATGGGGATAGCCATAGACTCTTCCTTCTGGGTTGTTTGGAAAATGGAACGAGTTAATATGGCTAAGGAGTCTAGAACACATATAAATGTTTGCTGTGGCTCCTCCTACCCACTGGCTCTGCTTTAATGACAATGGAGCCTTCTCCCACCTCCGGGCTGCTTGCTGGATGTTGCTCTTCCTTGGGACCCCGGCCAGTTCCCCGCATCCCAGCTCCTAGAAGGTTGAGACTGTCCCAATACCTCCCCCCACACCTGATCATGCCTCCTTGATATAAAGCTGGGCCCAAAACATGGCCAAGTTCACCCTCAACCCGCCTCTGGGACATCCTTCCCTGGGCTCAGTGCTAGTCTCTGAAGTCAGAACCAGCCCCACCTAAATGCTCCTGATTGCAGCCCCAAGGCTTACAGGATACATAGGGAATTTTTAAAATGTTACTTAATAAAAATTTAACATACTTATTTTAAAAAATACACGACAGAAAAATGGAAAAGCAAAATTGAATCACCATTCCCGAGTCCTACCACTCTGAGCAATCGTCACCAACCTGGGAAGGAGCATAATTCCAGACACCTCCCTGAGAGGCTCGGAAACATGGAGCTGGGTCACTGGTGTGGAAATGGACCCTATGATGACGGCGGCTTCCCAGGGTTAAAGGATTGCCTTTAGTTTCACTTGGATTTGATCCAAGAGAAAAAAAAGCTTGACATGCCACTGAAGGAACTGCTGGTCTGGATATGTGCCAATTGTCATGCTGGTCCACTCTCCCGATGACGTCACGGTACTCAGGTTGTGCAAGCACCCTTATTATCCTCCTGAGGCACGTGAGGCTCGCCGTATCAGTGAAAACTGTAAGGTTCCGGAGGCCTGGGGCATGCTAGGAACTCCTTTTTGGGAGGCGAGGACAGGCTCTTGCCCCTCCCACCATGAAGAAAGAGGCCCCAGCGCCAAGGGACCCCAGGATGCAGCAAACATCACCCTTGGAAATGCAGCCCCAACCCACTCATCAGGAGATTGCATGGGAGGGGCCCAGAGCAAGAGAAGTGTCTCTCTCTCTCTCTCTCCAGAAGGTTCAGACTGTGGTCAAGCTGCTTTGTAGTCATATGACCTGCAGATCTGATGGTGGTAGACACGGCCCCAGGTGCAGCTGCTGGCCAGCCCTGGTAAGAGGTTGCTATGTAAACGCTCAGAATGCCGAAGCAGAGCTAGGTCAGGAGCCCAGCTTCTGGAATGCTCCAGGGCCCCTGGAGGGCCTGAGCATCTGGTGATGGGCATCATGTGACCGTGTGACTGGACATGGTCACCGTCAGATCCACTCGTCATAAGGTGGCCGGGTCCAGCAGCTATCCATGGTGTGACAGATGGGGGAGCTCAGGCCGGGGCTGAGTGCGTCTCTGCATGGGCCCAGCGACAAGGCAGGCTGGGCTCCTGCAGTCCTGATCTCTGTGGTTCTACTGCCTCTGCCCACCTGTAGCTCCGGGGGAGGGGGCCCTCAGGTCAAAGGGTGGAGGAGAAAATAGGAAGGCCAGGCTCACAGATAGGCCTGCAACCAATTATGGGCCTCTGCCATCGGGCAATCCCCGTGGCAGGTCCCTCAAGGAGACTGGTGGGGATAGATGGCCCTGGAGTGCTGAGTTGCTCGCTGAGGAAAAGGGAAAAGCAGCCTGAAGGACAGGGATGTGTGGACTCTGGGCAATAGGCAGGAACCTGGCTGGTTGGTCACATCTTTGGAAGAAGGGAAGACCTGAGCCAAGGAGGTCTGGGGAGTCGATTCCTGGGTGGGCGTGGCGTGCGTGCATCTAGCCTGGAGGAGAACGGTGACAACCAGGCCCAGACTGACTTGCCCTGGGGCCACTCTGGCATTGGCACAGTGGTTCTGTGAACAGAGGAGGCGCAGCAGCAGGGCAGACTCGGTACGTGGGGCCCAGCATGCCACCCCCACTGTGGCAGACGTCCCTCTTCCAGCAGTGGAGACCAATGATGGGTCCTTGATGTGGTCACTCCGTGAAGAGGCTGGCTGGCCACCTGATGGCAAATTGGTTGCACTGCATCCTTTCCACTGGAGAGGATGGCAACTTCTCTCTACCGGCACCAATACCCTCTTGGGGAGCCTCGGGGGCTGCCATACCTCCACCAGCATCACCGCCCAGGGGCGCACACGGGTCTGATGGCCATATTTTTTCAGCCAGGGCAGATGGCTTCTCAGTTGTTTTCCCATCTGCACTGGGCACACAGGAAATGATTCCAGTGATTATTGGCTCAATTTACCCAAGAGTAGTACATCATTAGGACCATTCTAGAAGCACAGGAGAGAAATTAGACCATGACATACAACACATACCTTAGGTTATTAGGGCTTTATTCTCTCAAGGAACCCTGATGTCCTGCACAACGCTGTCTCAGACTGGGGACCATCGTACCCTGAGGAGGTGACCGTGGAACGCAACCATATGTCCCCTGGTCACATCACTCGGAAACAGCCCACCTGAGAGGACTGGCCCATTAAAGGCTTAGCTCCGGTGCTGGTCTGGGACATCCTGAGGGCTGAGGGCTTGTCCTCTGCTACATGAGAATGCCCGGAGCCCAATGGACACGTAGGACAAGGCCTTGTGGCAGACTCCTGGGAAAGAGCCAGGGCATCCCACCAGGCAAATCGAGAGCAGTGCAAGTGCTGGCTGAAGGTGAGAGGAATCCAGAACAGGTGGGAAAAGGAGACGGTGGGTATCCGTTGGACCAAGGAGGACCACGAGCAACACAAGGGACCATCGCTCATTCTACTATTCCCCGTATTAAAATCTGACAGGGATCGAGGCCAGCCACCATGGGGAACTGGACCCTGGGACACACGGACCTAAAAAAGGCCCCAGGTGGAACTGAGGAGGGGCAAGGGGAGCGGGCTTTTGTTTTCTGTGTCTGGTGCTCTGACCTCTGGCCTGGCTGACCCTGGACGGACTGCCCCTCCCAGAATTGGCCAATTCTTAGAGAGTACTCCACTGGCCCCTGGGTGCTTTTCAAACATAAACCAGCCATTCCAGAGCCCATGGCCCCAGCCACCTTTAATGGGCTCTCACACTCTGAGCCACGAGCTCCCCCAACCCTATCCCCAAGGCCTGGTCCCAGACAACTCAGGACTGCCTTAGGCTTCAAACCAGACAGCGCCCTAAGCCTGCTTACCCAGCTTACCTGTTCTTTCTTGAGGAAGCCACAGTGAAGGCTCCTGCCACAGCTGCCCTCCACCCCCGACCCCCTGCTTCCCCAGGCAGCCCCTTGGGGTGCCGCGTGCCCCCTCCTCTGGGAATTGTAATGATCTTTTCAATGATGGCCTTACTGAGCCTCTTTTAAACCTCGGACTGTCTTGGGCGACTCTGTGGCCCATGTCAAGTGCTCCTGCCTGGTGGATGCCAGCCACAGTAGCACTGTGGTGACTACTCCCTGCCGTCACCACCCCAATTCCCACAGGTGACCATGGCCTGGCTTGCTCTGGCCCATGGCTTCTTGGCCCCCCCATGAGGACCACCCACGGGGCTTGCCTGGCCCCCAGCTATATAAACCGGGAAGCACAGGGGCCGATGGGTCAGCCCCGAGCAATGCAGAGCAAGCCTCTGGCTACGTGTCCCCTCTTGTCCCTCTTGGGGGTGGACAGTTTTCAGGACCTTCCTCAAGGTTCTGCAGATGGCCCAGTGGAGTCAGTATCCCCCTGATGTGGTTCAGCAAAGCCTGTCTGTCTGCTGGCTTTCCCCCCTTCCCTACCTCCCCTTCCCCTGGTTCCCCCTGTTCCCCGGAACCACCTCCCTCAGAGATTTCCAGCACAAACGCAGACCTCATTCCTCAGACTCCCCTGTCAGCCATGCAGCGTGTGGGCCTGCCCTTCCCCGAGGTCTGTGTGAGTAGGGAAGTCTGTGTCAGGAGGAACTCTGGGCCCCCCAGGGGGCTCCTCCTTATAAAATGGAGCGACCACAGCTGCTCCCTGAGGCTGTGAGGATCCCAGAAACGTAGTACTGGACAGGGTCCTGACAGGAAAGAGGTGACAGGCGAACTAGGTGGAAGGGTTTCACGAAGGGACTATTTATAGGGACTACTGAGGACACGATGAAGTTAGAGACAGCAAGAGGGCCTTGGCCCAAGAGAACCAAGCTGGTCCAGGGAGGCCCAGGGGCGGTTCTGGGAATGCCTGACAGGCATAGAGGCAACCAAAACTGTGCCTACCGGAAATGCAGAATCCCACACAATCTCGCACCGGGGCAACCTCAGTCCGTACTGCCTCTTGGCTTTCCCACCTCATCATCTCCCTGTACAAAGGCCTGCAAAGGCCTGGGTGACCTCGGGCCTCTACTGCTCAGCTCCAGGATGGCCTTTTCCCAGGGTCACCTCTCACTGCAGGCAGAGGGCGGGAGGTATAGCGAGGGCTCCCGCATGGCTCCAGAAAGCTTGGTGACGGCTGGGACAAGCTGGGGGCAGACCCCTTCCCACCTTTGAGTCAAGCTGTGCCCGCGGCCACCGCCTAGTCTTTGCCCAACTTGGGTCCTCCGGCCCAGCCCAGCCATCCACACAGACCTTATCTCGGCTGTCCATCGAGGGCCACCTGGACAAACCAGTCCTGCCAGAAACTGGATCTGGTCATAAAGGCCCCTCCCTAGAGGTGTGTGAGATAAACCCCCATCCTCCCCAGGCCTTCGCTGGAGCCAGAGGGCCAAGGCCTGGGGTGGAGGTGGTGGGTGGTTTGCTTCTCCTCCCCCTCTCCAGCCCTCTCTCGCCTGAGCTGGTGACTCCTGGCTCAGCTCTCAGAGCTGGGGTGAGGGAAGGCAGGGGTCAGGACAGAGGGCCACTGGGGAGAGCCTAGGAGCTACCCCGTGGGAGCACCCAACACCCATTTTCCTTTGTTCGAAAGGGAAACTGAGTCCCAGAGAGCTTTTTCAGCTCCATTTGTTGAGACTGCTAATAACCTCCTCACATCAAAAGATTGCTTTTCGGGCGCCTGGGTGGCTTAGTGGGTTAAGCCTCTGCCTTCGGCTCAGGTCATGATCTCAGGGTTCTGGGACTGAGTCCCGCATCGGGCTCTCTGCTCAGCAGGGAGCCTGCTTCCCCCTCTCTCTCTGCCTGCCTCTCTGCCTACTTGTGATCTCTCTCTATCAAATAAATAAATAAAATCTTAAAAAAAAAAAAAAAGATTGCTTTTCCTTCATGTAAATCTGTCCTCTGTGGGCTCCTCACAGGCCCTGGGGTGAAGGCCTTGCCTATGGTGGGCTGATGCACAGGGGATCAGTGTGGCCATGATTCCCATCTTCCAGATGAGGAAACAGGTCAGTTGCCTAGGTCACACATGGCCAACCTGGGACTGGAGCTCCCTCCCATCTGCCTGCAGAGCCATGGCCCGAGGGAAACTTCTAGAGTCTCACCACCCTAAATAAGCACACTTACCCACTTGTCCTGTTGGCTCCTTTTAGCTATAAATTCCTGGGAGTACAGCCACTGGACTGAAGCTCCACAGGATTCTGAGCATGATTCCCACTGACAAGCCGTGTGCCAGCTGCGGTGCCCATGGGGACCCACCGTGGAAGCTAGGAGGGGGCCCCAGCCCAGCAGCTGTTGGTATTCTTGCTTTTTACCTGGTTGGTGGGAAACGACATTTCTCTGTTTGTACATCCTGGCCTCCAAGCAGCTTGTCTATGCATGTTGGTTGTTTCTGTATCTTCTGGTAGGAATTCCAGGCCTCCATTCTTTGCAGGCAAAGACAAGGGCTGGGATGTCACCAGTTGCTGCTGCTTTCTGGCCTCAGGCTTCTCATCTGCAAAATGGGGAGATGGGGCGCTCTAGGGACAACAGCCCCTCCAGGCCCAATTCCACCTAAAGGAATGCTTCTTTTCCCCCCGTCTCGCCCCAGGCCCAACTCCTGATACCAGGCAGTAAATAACTTTCCATTTGGTCACGTCTGTTTTGGTGAATCTTTTGCTCTGGGGAAAGTGGGCGTGTCCCTAGTCCAGGACCCACACCAGCTACCACTGGAGGGGCCAGGAGGGGTAGGGAGTGGTGTAGGGGGTTCTGTCATCTTGAGCTCGGTGCCATTACCAAGGGTGCCCACTGTGTGCCAGGCGCCAACACCCCAGGGCAGTCAGCCTCCTGCAGCTTGTGAGGCCAAGAGCCTCACCAGGTCCTTCTCCCTGCCAGTTCCAGCCTTCAAAGCACAGGCGGGAAGACTGAGGCCTGCGTGCACAGGGATGGAGAGTCTCAAGGACCCACAGGGCCAGCAGAGGTCTGCTCTGCTGGTCTGGGCGACCCCAGGCACAGGAGCGAGGAGGGCTGTTCCCCAATGTGCTCCACACTGATGCAGTGGGAGCTTTGGCCTCCGCTCCCCAGCCTCCAGGCCCCAGCGCCCGCAGATTCCTTTGCCTGGAATGCAAGGAAGCAGACAGGCCCAGAGAAGCCCAGCGACTTGAGCACGTGGCCCAGCATCAAGGAGATCGGGTGTCCCGGCGGCGGGAGGATAAAGCGGGTCTTCCCCGCTTGCCTGGGCCAGATTTGGGCGCCGAGACGCCCTCACACCCCACCCCACCCTACCCCACCCCCGGCCCCCCCCAGGTCAGCTGCGGGTGCGGAGGCGCTCGGCCGATTACGGAGCGCGGCCGCCAGCGGGCCATCTGCATGACAAAGGCGCGGCCGGCGGCCGGGGCGGGAGGGGCGGCGCGGGGGGCGCCTGGCCGGGCTCAGCCCCCGCCCCGCCCGCAGGCCCGCAGCTGCCCCGCTAAGCCTCCGCCCCGCGGCCCAAAGATTTGGGGGGCGGGGGCGGCACGCGAGCCCCGGCGCTCAGCTGTGTTTGCTCGGGGGGCGCCACGCGGGGCGGCGGGGCTGCGGCGCGGGACAAAGGCCCGGATCTGACCGACCCCGCAGGTGGCGAGGGGGAAGGGAGGGCGCGCCGGGGAGCGAGTACGGGGCGGGGTGGAGGGGAGGGTGGAGAGGGGAGGCCGTAGCGGCGTCGGGGAGAGGGGATGCAGGCCCGTCCGAGTCCCTGAGACCTGAGACCCCCCCTCAGGAGCCCGGGGCCCCGGGATCAACAGTGTCGCGTCCAAGGGCCTGCGTTTGGGAGCCGCCTCCAGCCCCCCCTTCCTTCCCTGGCACCCCAAATGACAAACGCTGTTAGCGTCCATCCATTCTAGGCTGCTCACGGCCGTCTACATTTGCTGTGGTCCGCACTTGCTCCCTGTGACTCAAACAGGCCCTCTGTTAATGGTCCTCTTGGACCCTCTTGTTCCCCCCCCCCCCCCCCCCCCCCCCCCCCCCCCCCCCCCCGCCTCCTCTCCCAGCAGCTCCACCCCAGCCCCGCACCCTCCCCAACCCGCTCTTTCACTTTCCCCAACGCAGGAAATGGCCCTTCTGTATTCCAGGTGCCTGCACCGGATCCCGGCATGGGCATCGCGTCCTTCACGTGTCCCGCCCCCGCATCCCCTCTGCCGGCTTGACCTTCGAAATCTCTGGAGAGTCTAAGCACCTTCTGCCAGCGCCGCTGCTGCCCCTCGGTCCAGCCCCCATAACCTCTTACCGGGACTATTCCCTCATGTTCTCCCTGCTTCTGCCCCAGCGGCCACCGCAAGGGTCCTGTCAAAACCAAAGTCGGACCTCACCCCTGCCTTGCTCCACACCCTCCCATGGCTCTCCCCTAACTCAGAGGCAAAGCCAAAGTCCTCATGGCGGCCACGAGGCCTCACCGATCTCCTCCCAACCCCCACCTCCCAAGCGCGGACTCCACTCTTTGCAGTCCAGCTACATCGGTCTCCAGGCTCTTCCTCCAGCAGCCATAACCCCCTCTCCCCCCAGGCCCACTTGGAGCGCACTCTGCCCTCACAGCTCAGGGCCTCACCACCTCATTGCCTTCAGAGGCCTCCTATGCAGCGAGGCCCTCCTTGGCTACCTGATCTACAAGGGCCACCCACCCCTTCAGCTCTCCTCGCGTCCTTCTTCACCCTGTTTCTTCTCTTCGGCCCTCTCTGCTCTGTGGCGTTTCTACACACATGTGCTCCTGCTTCCGTTGCTGCTCATTTTCTGTGTCTCGTGAACTGTAAGAGGCACCAGGGCAGAGACTTCTCTGTTTTCTGTTCGCTGTTGTGCCCCGGTCCCCCAGACCTGGCACTGTCCCCCGTGCACAGTAGCTGCTCAGTAAATATTTGCTGAATGAATGAAGACACGCAAGGCATCCAGTCCACCATGGCAACCCCGTCAGTTAGGCACGATTAGCTTCATTTTACAGATGACGGCACCCAAGGGAGCGAGCAACCGGCCCAAGATCACGCAGCTGGAGACTATGAGGGTGCAGGATTTGAATCCAGCCCCTCACTTCCTACTGAGCTCTCCAACCAGGGGCCCGGGGCCTAGTTTGTGCTCCCAGAAAGGCTTCGTGGGGTTTGGACGGTTTCAGAAAAAGTTGGCCATTTGAAAAATCAGAAGGTTTTATGCAAAAACCTAAACTTCCAGCTTTTCTGGCAACATTGAAGCCACTGGCCATAGTGGGGTCTCAGTCCCGCAGGGGTAGAGCTGAGCAGTTGCCCCTCAGATGGGGGTGTGGGCTGCCTTATTTGCCCCCGTCTCTACCAGGCTGCTTCCTGGCCAGGCCCTGCCAACCCTCGCCTTCCCCAGGCCTCCTTCCTGTGAGTTTTGGTCCTCCGGGCCTCTGTCCTCAGTGGTCCCGCTGCCTGGGATCCTCTCCCATGATTCATGGATGAGCTGCCTCCTTCTTATCAGTCAAGTCTCAGCCCAAATGTCACCTCCTCGGAGAAGCTCTCCCTGAGTGGCTAATGATCACGGTCTGAAATGACATTATTAGTCTCTTTGGTGCCTGCATACTGTCTGTCTGCTCCTGGAGAATGGCAGCTGGAGGAGGGCAGGGCCTGGGTCCGTTTTGTCACACTGGCTGGGACAGCACCTGCACCTCCAGGCACTGGGAGACTGAATGAGCGAAGGAGTGAGTGGAGGACTGGTCTGTAGTCTTCAGCCTCTGCTCTGAATACCTCCCAGGCATCAGACTCTGGTCTGTGCACAGGAGCACAGACCCCTCTGCAGGGCTCATGGGATCCGTGGGGCCAGGTTGCAGTTCCCTTGCTGGGGGAAAAGCCTTGGTGGTTTCCAGTTCTGTGACCCCTCACTCCAGCTCCTGGAGTCTTACCATGGAACTGGGGCTCTGAGTCTTCGGAGTCAGCTGAGTGACGCTGCCCTGTGGTCACTGCCTCCCCCGACTCGTGTTCCAGATGCAGCCCTGCCTCTACTTGCCTGTTAGCCTTGCCCCCATCAGGCCCCCCGCTGGTCAGCCTTTCAGGGCTCCTAGGGACAGCTGGTGGGCTGGCTAGTGGGCTGGCTGGTGAGCTGAGTTCCAGGCCTGGCTCCATTAATTTGTCCCTGTGTGACCTTGAGCTGCTTCATTTGCCTGAGCTTGTGTCTCTGACTGTAAGTGGGGACCCCTGTGCTCCCTGAGGTTTGGGAGAACTCCTGGAGCTTGTGCACAGTGCCCCTTTCCTCCCCGCCCCAGAGCATGGTGGGTGCTCAGGGCAAGGGTAGGGTGGCTCCCACCCCATAGGGAGCCTCCCCAGCTGATGGCCCAGGTGGAAGAGCAGGTGGGTGGGACTTCCAGAGCCAACCTCATGACTGTCACTCATCTGTATGTGCCAGCCGTCCAGGACCCTGCATGCTTCCTTGCGTGGGTTGTCTTGGGTGACCGCGGGATCACATGTGCATAGGTATGTGTGAGTGAACACGCATGTCTGTGATAATGCAGTTGTGAGTGACTGTGTGGATGTGTGAGACAGTGTGGGGTGTGGTGCCCGAGTGGTCTAGCCTGTCCTCGCTAGCCAGTGTGCGGTAGGTGGGAGCAAGCTTGCCGGGCCCCTCCAGGCAGTCCTGGGGGCGGGAGTCCACTGGGTCCTGGCTGACCAGGGCTGACTGGTTGGCCTGAGCCAGAAGGGACTGGTTGTCGTGGAGAGAGGGGGAGCCCTACCCCCCACCCCCCAGGGCAGTTAGTTCCCAGGACCTTGCTCTGCTGCTCCTGCTCTATGTCCCAGGACCAGGGCCCTAGGGCTGGGGGTGGGACCCTGGTGGAGGGTGGTGGGGGGTTGGAGAGGCGGGGAGAGAGTGGGGTGCAGAGCTTACAGGCTGACTCCCCACCCCCCACCCGGTCCTCCACTGCTGGGGCTCTAGCCCAGCTCCCTCCCACCCCACAGTGGACTCCTGGTGAGGTCAGGACACTTACCTCCCTGCTGTGTGGCCGCAGGGCCCAGACTGTTCACTCAGCATGCTCCCACCCCCTCCGTGTTGGCTGATCCAGTGAATAAACTAGGTGTGGCGGGGGGGGGCTGGAAATATGCCTGTTTCTAACCCCAGTGAGGCGGCCTCAGAACTGTCTCTGGGCCCCAGGGAGGCACGAGCTCCCTGGCCCCAGCTTCCAGAGAGGTTCCACAGGACTCCTACCCTGGCGCTCTCCACTCAGCCATTTCTGACTTTAGCTTCAGAACCAAATGAATCTCACTTTCCCCTGCCACGAATCCCAATCTCAGCAGCGGGGTCTGCCATGTGCCCCCTTTCTGCCTAGTTCCTGAGGGCCTCAGGGGCCTGGAGAAGAAAGCTTCCTCTCCGACTGGACCTGTCAGAGAAAACTAAGGCTCCACAGGGCCTCAGTTGGGGTCACTTGCCCAAGGAAGGCCTCCCTTGGCCTGTCTCTGATCAGAGGAGGAGGATGTGGCTCCCCTGTGGGAAGTGAGCCAGAGACCCCAGGAGAAAACTGTCCTCCCTGCCTGCCCCTCTGGAGCCAGGAGGAAACACAGGAGAGAGAGCTGGGGCCCTGGGCTCAGTGGAAACTGGACTGGCCAGCCGGCGGGGCCTGCCTGCCTGGTTCTGGTTCTAGAAGTGTCAAACGTGGGACAGAGGCACAGAGACAGACAAACAGGGACAGAGACACACACTTCCACATGTGCATGCGCTCAGGAGTCCGCTGGAGATAGGACACGGGCCAGGCAGCCTCTGGTCTTCGCAGATTGGGACTCCGAAAGCAAATTGCGAACCCCAGCCCAGACCGGCTTTAGTTGTCCATATCCAAACCACGGTGCATGTGTGCATGGGTGTGGACTTGTGTGTGTACACCTGCGGGGGTGGGAAGGGTCAGCGGGAGCTGAT